TATGAGGTAGAAGAATCGTTTTTCAGGTAAAGATTTTGTTTAAAAAATTTTTAATGTCAAAAACTCTCCTAATTAAACTAATTATGTTTAAAAAAAATTTTAACTTCAAAAACGATCCTTCTACCTCATACAGTATAAATGCAGGCTAATTGTTTATAACATTTTTACAACAATATGTCTTTTTTTAAAAATTATAAAGGTAATATACGTTCTCGTAGTAGTTTTTTGCGTCGAATCGAATGGCGCTATCAGTTTTTTATGAAAATCAATTTTTCTTTATTTGTTTATGACAAATTGTTTAAAAATTTTTTTTTTAATTTTAACGTCAAAAATTATCATTAGACCCTATGCCAGGATCCCAATAGTTACTTTTTATATATGCGTTCCTGTGCCCATGGGCATTAATGGGTTAAAAAAGGAAAATAATGTTTATAAAAAAGTTAAAAATATATTGTTATACTGTTTATAATAATTATATATACGTATATAATTAATAAATGTATTAGGGGCGAGCAGTAAAGGTCATATCATCTTTTAAAATACACTGATATAGGCGCTGCTTAGTTAGCGCAACGCAAAAAAACTCGTAGCGCAAACTTCAAAAATTTTTTTCTCAATAACATCAAAAATCACTTCTTTTAAAATTTAACCACTTATTAAGGAAGGTTTAAATTTTGAGAAAATAATTTTTTTAGAAAATTCCATGATGTCCTTTGCTTTTTTTAACAATAAAAAATTATTGTTTAAACAAATTATTTAAAAATTAATTTTTCTTAACTTTTTTTTTTAATATTATAAAAAATTGACATTTTCTCTACAATTTTGAATGAATGACTTTTTTTTGTAGAATCAATAGTCTTCGAAATAAAAATTCTCAAAAAAGTCATTTTTTTCAGTTTCCGATTTTTCAAATCTAAATATCTTGCAAAAAAAATTTTATTGTTAAACTGTTTGGCACAGTTATTTAGTACCCCAAGTACTACAAAATTACAAACTTTAAGAAAAATCGGTGATCCACCATTTGCTTCTCGTATGGAACTGCCCTGCAGTAAGTTTGTACATAAAAACTAAACATTTTTCTCTTTGGAACCCCATCTTTATAATTCACTGTTTCTGAGATATTCAATTTGTAACAACTGCACAGCGTAACAACCGCACCTAGTCTCCTTATAACAAATATTGACTGCATGTTATAAACAATTAAGTTTACCAATTTAGATTAAAAAATAAGATAATTAAAATTAAAACTATTAGACCGAATATAATCATAATAAACAATTCCTCTGTTATAAAGAAGTTAATTTTAACAATTGTGACGCGACCCGAAGAAAGGTACCTAAGAAGGAAAAAATTTGAGGTTATGTTTTAAATTTTTTGAGTAAAAATACAGAAAGAGAATCAATTAATAATTAAAAATTGTTGGTCTTCAAGTCTTTATTATATTCAAAATATTTAATGAATATTGGTTTTAAATTCAAATAATTAAAAAGATAAATCTAACTCGAACCCAACCTATAATTCGTTTGCTTCTTAGGTGCCTTTCTTGGGGTCGCGTCACAATTCAAATGTCAATTTTTAAAGGAATCTAATTTACTAAAGTGGATAGTTTACATAACAAAAAAAGTAATTCTTATCATGAAGAATAAAGAGCTGAAGCAAAATCGGAGAGAATTTTTCAAGAGTTTAGTTGACTGTCCTAATGATCAAAATTAAATATTAAAGACCTTTCTGCCCAGTGGCTAGCCGGTAACAATAAACTAACACTTAGTTGCCTCTCAAAAAACAATACCAAGTCGCACCCTTTGTGCTAACGATCTCACCTCTACTATACACAACATTGTGTCACATAGCCTAAAGACATTCAGTTAAACTTTTTTTCAAAACTAATATATAGTTTCAAAATAAAATAAATGCAAAATCTCATCATATTTTTAAACCTTAAAGCGCACACTTTCTAAAGTTAAAAATTCATATTTTAAAATTACTTTATTAAAACAAAAAGGTGACTAATTATTTCACTCATGGAACATAAAATTTAGTATAAAATATGCCGCTCGATGGAACTACATGTTCAAATTTTACGAATTTTAACGAGATATTAGAGTTCAAATATATATTAAAATATGGGTGTCCAACATCCAGTGTGCGCTTTAGTGGTAAGTTTGTTTTATATATTATCAAAATAATGAATTCAATTGATTACTTTATGAAATCATTATTTTATTCTTTCTGTATTATTTTCTTAAAACTTTTACAAGTTGTTGTTTTTTTACAATAAAAAATATCAACTTTCAAGAAATTGTCGGTTCTGTGAAGAGAACTTTTAAAGATTATACTTTGTTTAATGTAAATGCGTGATTTTCAGCGAAGAGCAGAATTTTGTTTATGAAACTTAAAAAAATGTTTATCGATATGAAAATTATCAATATATTTTTTGATAGAAATATCCATGGAGGGCCAGAAAAATTGTTTATCTATTAAAATATATATAAAAGATAATATTATCTATTACCCATTGAAACAAGTATTTTCGAAACTACTCTTAATAAGTTTAAAAAAAATATGACAAAATGAAAAATATTTTTTGAAAACTGTTGATAATTAATTATAAAAAATTATAAATTCTAGACTGTTACATGAAGAATATAAATTATAACTTCTTCATTATAGTTTGTTAGTCACGCGACATGCGATTCATTAATGAAAAAAGTAATAGGTAAAAATAAATAATCCATGATACTTTCTTTTAAGGTAATTTAAGCATATTAAACGCATTTTTCAATGACACATTTATATGTTGACACTTCCTTTTTAGACTTCTTGATTTTCCTTCTCATTGGATCTTACAGTTTGATATAGGAGTTGATAATGTAAATTTAAGCGCGTTAACGAAAGCTATGCGAAAACGTTCCACATGCAAACTGCATTTTGCATGCCACATTCCAAATGTCTTGCTACCCTTGTTTATACTGATAAACGGTTTTGAGAATTCGAAATTACACAAGAAGCTCGATTGAGGACTTATGCCAAGAGAGCTCTAAAATTAAAAGCTGGGTCTAAATACTATGACGTCTTTTACCTTTTATGCTTATTTTAACATTATTCAAACTTATTTGAAGTTTATTTAATTCATTTTAAACTACCTTTAGATTTCATTTAATAAGATTTACTAAATTTGATGAATAGGTTAACCCTTTGACGCCCAAATGTACAAAATTCTGGCAAGAAGTCAATGCGCCTACGACCCCGCATTGCACCTTGTCCAGACATGGCACCAAACTTTCAACTTTAATTCTGTGTAAGAAATTTGTATTACGGGCGTGATGCGCCTTTGAGTACTATCAAAACGAGAATGAATAAAAATGGCCGTGTGTCTGGCTACGAGAGCGTCGCTACACACGCTCTTCTTTTTAGTTTTAAGGTGAGTCCCCGGCGTACTATTTTTTAACTTTATTCTCTACTCTTATCCGCGCGAGGTAAAATCTTTGTCTTCCTGGTGCTCTTGAATATTTGGGAATCACGTCCAAATATATACACCAGGAAGCACTTTCACTGATGACTTCGGACGATTATACAGTTGACGGTGGTCAATAAATACTCCGTTGAAAATTTCTCGACGGATATGAAAAGAAAAACAACAAGCGAACGGCAGAAATTGTTTTAAATATTTTTAATTTACAATTGTTGATCTGACGAGTTGGCAGGATTATTTAATAACATTTCAATTATTCAAATAATTCAATTTCCGAGGTACAATTTTTTTGATTTTATTAAATTTTGGAATTCAAAATACTAAATACTAATTTTTATTTCTTTTAGGAAGGAAGATTCTCGTTTTGATGGAATCATTGTCAAAACTTTTAATTTTCTAAATTAAATCTTAACAAAAGTATATCTTTACAAAAGCCACAGTACATAATTGTTGAGTTATGTGAATATAATGATTTGATGAAACTAAATGTATGTCTTCAAGGTATATTTTGTGCTCTTTTTCGATAAATGTAAAATCAACGACAGTAGTTTCACGACCACTGTTATGACAACATCCTTCAAATCGCTATCTCGAGAAATTCTTTCTCAAACCCGTTTATAATGAAATTAATAAAGTTAACGATGAGTTAAAGTAACTGTAAGTGTAGAAAATTGATGTTAATAATAAAACTATATAAGAGAATTGTTTGTGAGTGCCTGAACTTATTTTTGGTATTCTGTGATCGTTCCTCCTACGATTTAAACCAGAAGAGAAACAATGGCGATCCTGACAGGATACTCTACTCAATTCTAAATTGTTAATAAATTAACAAACTAAGTGAAGTGATCTGCAATAAATTGTGGTTATTATATGGAAATTACTGTGAAAAATGAGTGATTTTAATGGTCGAAATGAGTGTGAGAGTGAGCAATTCTATTAAAGGTCGTTGGAAAGTTATCTTACTTTTTTCAAGACGTTCAAATATTAACAGTGTTTATTGAAGTATACACCTTATAAGACATTTAAAATCCTCGTATTAAATATTCGAGATGCTATAAGAATATACTTTAACGATCGATGATGCCAACTCTCGTTGTATTTATTCACCAGTTCTTAAAATGATTCACTCGTCGCCTCTTATACGCACACCTGTTTGTTGATCACTCACACATTTTTCTGTCATTTACCATTTTGCAGACATGTCTTAACAAGTCTGAAACTTTGAATCTCAATCAAGCGTGAAGCCAGTCTTTCCTCTGACAATAAAATGTCGGACCACGAACCTTCGATCGATGATCTTCTGGTGGAGCAGCAGGAAAATTTCGAAACCTTGCAACGGAGTTTTGATACCATGCAGAACATTCTGAAGGATCCTTTACCAGCTTCACTTCCGAAGCTCAGTTCCCGTTATGATAATATTTAATCTGTATGTCCAAAGTGTGTCGAAATTCAAGTTTCTCTTGAACAAATGTCCACTCCACAAGATCGACAAAAAATACCCTATTTCAAGGAATAATGGTTTGCTACAATGGAAGATATCTACTTGGATTTAGTTGGAGAAACCAAGTCCATTCTATTCAGTTTACCAGGTAATTTGAATCAATCAACGATCCAGTCTGATCATCAACTCACGGCCACGGAGAATGCTGCAAGGTCTACAATAAGGGCACCTCCTATTTCTTTACCTACATTTTCAGGTTCACACAAGGATTGGGTCACTTTTAATGACTATTTCACTTCCTTAATTATAAATCATAATAATTTTGATGATTATCATACATTACACAATTTAAAATCTTGTCTTGATGGAGAGGCAGCTAAATTACTTAGTGATGTACCGGTCACTGCTACGGGTTTCCAAACGGCTTGGAGCAAATTAAAAAATCGTCATTCAAATAAGCGTTGTATTTTAAATACTCACTTAACGAATTTATTTTCAATTAAGTCTATAGCGAATTCATCTCCAGGAAGTTTGAGTAAATTACTTGATTCTGCGATTGAATCGATACAAGCAATGCATTGTTAGGATGTCCTACTGATAAATGGGACGATATTCTAATTTTCTTGATTATTAAGCGATTCGACAAGGTAACACGCGAAGCATGAGACTTACATCTGGAGGATTATGATGACTTTCCGCTTTTTTCATATCTTCCTAATTTTTTAAATAAACGAATTCGTGCTCTTGAAGCTGCATCAGCGCTACCAGAAAAAACTCCCACGCAATCTACCTCAAAATGCTCTAATGTTCAAACACATCACTCCGAAGCCTCTCCATCTAGGTGCCTTGTATGCTCTGAAGCTCATGCTATTTACAGATGTAAAAAATTCATTGCTAAATCAATGAAGGAAAAATTGGAAATTGTAAAAAAAAATCGTGTCAAAATTGTCTTACTGCTTTTCTTCGCGGAAAGGCATGCAGGAGTAAAGTGTGCTGCTCTCAATGTAAGATACGGCATCACACACTCCCACATTTTAATACTAAGAGTGAGAATTCCGGGGAGAGGGGGGACAACCCGCTTACCGAGCCTTTAACGAGTCTTGAGTCTGAAAATTCAGAACCAATAGATAACAGTCTAGTAGCTTCTTCCCATCTTTCGAGTGGGTCACAACTGTCACCTGGTATTCTTGCTACGGCTTGAGTTGTGATATCTTCCACCTCTCAACGGGCTGTTACTGTTACAGTACTTTTAGATCAAGGGTCAACTCACACGTTCGTTTCAAAGAAATTAGCAAACGCATTAAACTCGAAAACATACCCAGTTTCGGCTGAAGTCAGTGTTCTCGGAAATCAAACTAAACACGCGGTAATGCTACAGTTCTTTCAACTGAGGCCTTGATTTTAGATTCATTAACTTTTTATGTACCTAAATTCAATTATCCGATTTCAAATTGTGACCATCTTCGTGGTCTTACTTTCGCTGATGAGCGATTGACAGATGACACTCCCATCCATGCGATTATCGGGGTTGACCTCTATCCTTACGCGCTTCTTGACGGTATTCGTAAGGGAAGATGTGGGGAACCGGTGGCTCAAAATACAATATTTGGGTGGATACTTTCAGGTCATACAGAACTACTTTTTTCTGTCCCTGAGAGTGTAGTTCAGGTTCATCACATACAGGTGTGTGATAGCCTTGAAAGCACTCTACGCAAATTCTGGGAAGTAGAAGAAGGGCCATCCTTTCAACTTCTATCAGAGGAAGAAAATAAATGTGAAATGCATTTTCGTGAGACACATTCCCGTTATTCTGGAGGAAAGTATATTGTCCGATATCCTTTCAAAACTCCACCGCTTCTTAACATTGGAGATACACGTTTTCGATCCCAGAAGGTACTTTTTTCAATAGAAAAAAGACTGGATCAACGTCCTGATGAGAAGGAATCATATCACAATTTTCTTCGTGAGTACGAATCTTTAGGTCATATGAGACCAGTCGATCCTCCTTCTGATGAGTCCGACCAAATTGTCTATCTTTCACATCATCCGGTAGTAAAGGCTACCAGTACCACCACGAATACAAGAGTTGTATTTAATAGCTTAAGTCCTTCATCAAATCAGGTATCGTTGAATGATCTTCAAATGATTGGCCCTAGACTTCAGGGGGGCCAATTGTTCTTCCTATATTTTTAACACGTTGGCGAATTCATCGTTTTGTATATTGTGCTGACATTGACAAAATGTTCAGGCAGATACTTATGGATGAACGAGATGTCAACTATCAGAGAAATTTATGGCGAACAGATCCTTCAAGGACCGTTCAAGAGTATCAGCTGTTGACTGTTGAGAGTCATGAGAGTTCTGAAACAGCTTGCCTTGGATTAAAGTCATGATTTTCCTTTAGCTGTTAGGATCATTCAAGATAAAATATATGTAGATGACTATCTCTTTGGTGGATCTGATGTCAAATTGGTAAAAGACATGCGGGATCAGTTAATTGCTCTTTTCAAACGCGGTGGCCTTCAGCTTAGATAGTGGGCAAGTAATTCTCCCGAGCTTTTAAATGATATTGATGAAAGTAACCATGGACTTGCCTGTGATAAGTCATTACAACCTTATGAAAGTTTGAGGATCCTGGGTGGATTCCATCCAGCGTCAGATACTTACCGCTTCTCTGTGCACAAGGAAGTCGCGAAGGTCATTACCAAGAGAGTCGTTCTTTCGATCATTTCTAAGATCTTTGATCCTCTTGGTTGGCTTTCGCATGTTATTGTGTTGGCAAAGATATTCATGCAGTCTTTATGGCGATATCAACTTGATTGGGATACGCCACTCCCTATAGAATTGTCATTCTATTGGTTAAAATTATATTCCTCTCTAAATGCAATCGATAAATTACAAATTCCTCGATGGGTTGGAAATGGAGATGAAATTGTTGTCAGTGAACTTCATGGTTTTTCAGACGCGTCTACATCATCATATGCAACTGTCGTATATCTTCGTGTGGTTATATTCAGGTGATATTCAAATCTCACTACTCTCAAGCAAAACAAAAGTTACACCCGAGAAACAACTGAGTGTACCTCGTCTTGAACTCTGTGGTGCAGTTCTATTGGCACGATTAATGAAACAACTACTTACCTTATCTGAGTTCAATTCATTTCAATCATATTGCTGGACTCATTCATCTATAGTTAGAGCATGGTTGAAATTACCCTCTTTTCATTGGAAGACATTTTTAGCCAATAGAGTATCAGAGATTTATTCTCTCATTCCTGATATCACATGGCACCACGTTCCTGGCTCTGAAAATCCGGCTGATTTAGCCTCTAGAGGGGTACAGCCCGAGAATATTCTTACTAATTCTCTGTGGTGGAAGGGTCCTTTGTCGCTATCACTTGACTATAATATATGGCCATCAGAGGAACCTTCAGAAACACATGATTCCCCCTTGGAACTAAAGTCTCCTCGCATATGTGTGGCGAATTTAATTGGTGGATTCCACGTCAGTTCAACACACTTATTTTCATGACTTGTTGGGATTTGGCAGTAATTTTGTAAATTTATTACTTTTATAGTGATAAACAACTCCACCAAATATTTTTTGAAAATTTTGAAAATTACCAAAAATATGGCATTTTAAAAATTTTTGTCTTTTTTTTGAAAGTGTTATAACTTTGGTTCTAATTAACCGATTTTGAATTTTAAAAAAAGGTTTTCTTTGGTTTTAAGTATATTTTAATTTAAAATTAATACACAAAAAAAAAGTTCAAAAATTTTTTTTTGGGAAATTTTGAAAAATTAAAAATTCGTTTTTGAAAAAACATTATCTTCGATTTTTTTCAAAATGTTACTAAATGTTAGGGCAAATGTGCTTTACATGTCCTGTAAGTTTCATCTTGGGATCTCAAAGGGATTCGGAGTAAAAAATAAAACGTAACCACATATTACGAACATATGGGGCAAAATTCCTCAACTGCCCAGGTAAAAAAATGACGCTCATTTATGGTGGTCCCTGCAATTAAAGACATACATTTTATATCCCACCTAATACGTTTTCCCGCATAAGACGCATTCTTAGTGCGGTCCCTACAGAATCGTATTAACCAAGTTCTACTGTAGGGGCAGTTCCATACGAAAAGCAAATAGTGGATCACCGATTTTTCTTAAGGGGTCTTGTAACTTTTTTAGGCATAAAATCGGAAGTTTTTAAAAATTTTGTTGCTTATAAGTTTTAAAATATAATTGATCAAAAGTTTTTACATATCATTGTGTATGTTAAAAAGTCTTAAAAAAAGAATTTCATATTCAAAAAAACATAAGTGTCTTCCTTCTACAGAGGGCGCTTTGGCCACTGGTAAAAATTATTGGTTGTCATTGTAGCTCATAGCAGAATCGTCTAAAATCAAAAAATCAAATTTTATTTCAAAATGGACGACTTAATACAGGACCTAAACCTCTTATTTACTACCAATGTTGAAAATTACACTTTTTGTGTATCATTTATGTCTAAAGAAATTGTGTTTTTTCAGATTCTTAGATTTAAAAGCTTGCCATTTTCTTAATTTTTGATATTTTTAAGTATTACGAGGTTCAGGTCCTGTATTAAGTCATCTATTTTGAAATTATGTTCGATTTTTTTATTTTAGATGATTCTGCTATGAGCTACAGTGACAACCGTAATTGAAAGTAATTTTTACCTGTAGACAAAGCGCCCTCTGCAGAAGGAAGGTATATATATTTTTCCAATATGAAATCCTTTTTTTAAAACTTCTTAACATACACAATGACATGTAAAAACTTTCGATCAATTATATTTTAAAACTTATGAGCAAAAATTTTTTTAAAATCATCCGATTTTAATGCTAAAAAAGTTACAAGACCCCTTAAAGTTTGTAATTTTGTAGTACTTGGGGTACTAAATAACTGTGCCAAACAGTTTTGCAAAAAAAAAATTTTTTTGCAAGATATTTAGATTTGAAAGATGGGAAACTGAAAAAAATGACTTTTTTGAGAATTTTTATTTCGAAAACTATTGATTCTACAAGAAAAAGTCATTCGTTTAAAATTGTAGAGAAAATGTCAATTTTTTATAATATTAAAAAAAAAGTTAAGAAAAATTAATTTTTCAATAATTTGTTTAAACAATAATTTTTTACTGTTAAAAAAAAGCAAAGGACATCATGGAATTTTCTAGAAAAATTCTTATATCAAAATTTGAACCTTTCTTAATAAGTGGTTAAATTTTTAAAGAAGTGATTTTTGATGTTTCTGAGAAAAAAATTTTTGAAGTTTGTGCTACGAGTTTTTTTGCTTTGTGCTAACTAAGCAGCGCCTATATCAGTCTATTTTAAAAGATGATATGACCTTTACTGCTCGCCCCTAATACATTTATTAATTATATACGTATATATTATTATTATAAACAGTATAACAATATTACATAATTTTTAAAAAAAGACAAATTGTTGTAAAAATATTATAAACAATTAGCCTGTATTTATACTGTATAAGGTAGAAGGATTGTTTTTGAAGCTAAAAATTTTTTTAAACAAAATTAGTTTAATTAGGAGAGTTTTTGACGT